GTTTAGAATAGCAATGATAATCAGGGTAATGATGATTAGTATCTACATACGAGTATCTTGCTTGCTTGTTGCAAAATCAGTGCTGATAATTATGAAAAGTGATAATAATTTCGGTTGTCAGCTTAAATTTGACGTAAATGTAGCGAGTGATATGATTATTAAAATACTTAATAATGATAGCGTAGCAGTGTTATGACGATATGGGAATTACATTTCGCATGATTATGATCTCAAAGCGATTTTGTTTTGGTTTGGTGTAAACGTGCTGTTAGAGGCGTTTATGGAGTTGATTGATCATATACATATGTAAGTACATATATACCCTTTAAACAATTTTCTGAGTGTTCAGAAATTATGAGTTTGAAATGAGTCTATCTTTCGTCATAGATTGATATAATTCTGAGACCAGTCAACCAGACTGACTCATTTCGAACTCTTTTGGTATTATAAATTCTGAGTTGAACAAAAGTAACAAAGTTCAAGTAGAAGTAAAAATGTATTAATAATCAGAATTATAAAGAATATTGTTTTTTCAGACTCTAATATGAGTCCTAACTCGGACTCGTATTTGAGTGCTCTTCTAAACAGGAAAATACGCTCTTTTCCGACTCCTTATGAGATCATAATGAGGTTACAACTCAGAATTCTGAGATTTGTCTGACTCTAAAATGAGTCCGATTGTTTACAGGGATGTACTTATTTGAATCAAATAAATATATAAATAAATAGTTTTTAAATTATATTCTTAAACCAATTTACTGTGAAAATTAGAAATTTTTAAAATCCGTTTATTGGTATCATTATCGATATATGTAGATATACTTTTAAGATATCTTTATCCAAACGTTTGTTATTACAACCATATTTACTGACCACGTCATTAATTCAACTGTCTTTTCATTACCGATATTCATATACTTCAATATTGCTACTGACATGTTTTCGATAAAACTATCATTATTTTATATCTTTTAAAATCGTTAAATCGATATAATTTTCAAAAACTTGTTCGATATGTTTTTCGACATTTTTTTTAATCGAAATACATAAATATTTATCGAGGCATTTATTAATAAAGTCACTAATATTATATTCGTTATATTTGTATATTGATATATTTTTCGATATTACTCATTTATGAATATTATTACATATTTATATATTTTTCAATAGTACCATCGACATTTTAACAATTTTTTTTTCTTTATTTCTTCCAATTTCTTACCAAAATTTCACAACCCTCTTCGATGTGTTTATTTAGTTTGTTATCGAAATATGTATCGATATACATATCTATCGACACTCGCAACTTACAGCTATTACTAAATAATAATAATATTTTGGCGCTTAATATATTTTACAATATTGAAATTTTGAACTACGGGACCAACATTTCTCCATAATTTTCATAAATTCTCCTCCAGCTTCAAATCTGTTTAACAGAAAAACTATGTACTACATTACCAAAAGCACATTAAACGGGTAATACCAGCAGAGCAAAAACAACGAGCTGCATATATTTTGTTGATCTTGTATTCTAAAATGTCGCAAAATTTAAACGAAATTTGACATTTTATAGCAAAATATAAACAAAAATGACAACTCATGAACTATTAATGAAAAAAAAATCATAATTACATCCCTTTTGCTGCTCCCTAGTGTACAAAATCACTATTTTCAAAAATTTAACAACTTCTTGCTTTCAAGCCAAAATCATTTCCACTTCGTATTCCGTTCTTGCCTATTTTTCATTTTATTTTTGTTTTTGATATTTAGGGGTTTGGCTTTTCCGGCTTAGTGACAAAACTGTCAGCCGCAGCTGAAAAGAAATATACTTAAAACGAAAAAAAAATCGATGCCTAACTGGCTGACTCGCTGAGTATCAACTACAAACATATGTACATAATATCTATTCGTTTGCCATTTAGGAATTGAGGATTTTCCATTGTGTTTTATGCTTGTGTTCTTTTTTTTCGATTGCAATCGATATTCCTTATTGTTGTTGTTGTGTTTTACTTTTTTAACTGATAATTTTCCAATTGGTGTGGCATGGTGACAAAGAGCGAATAGGTATTTTGAAAATAAAAGGCTATATAAGAGTATGTACATATATGTGTACCTTGTTATGTGAAGTTACTTTTAAGTTTAATTTTGTTAAATAAAAATTTAAGTTTACAATTAAACTATGTTTTTGATGAATAATTTTTAGTTTAAAAAAATTTAACCTCACATTTCTGCATTTATTTTCGCTAAAATATGGATATGTACATATATGTATATAGAACAAAATTTATCACTATGCAAAACTCAAATACTTGGCCAAAAAAATTCTTAACAATCTGTTTTCGTTTAAGACTAAATTAATTTATATCTTCTGCACTTTGCCTTCTGGCCGATTCGCCATTAATCTCTGCCACTTTTTGTGCGAATCGCTTATTCGGCATTAAATGAGGCGAGGTGACTCCAGGCTGATTTGCCAGCAGCGCAGCTAGTGTTGGACGCTCTCCAATCGCCACTGCTGCCGCCACCACCATCGCCGCAATTGCCACTCAATCAATTCATTTTGCAAAACTGTAGTACCTGCATAACTTATTTTTAAACATTATTTCCTTATTTAACTGCTCATTTTTTTTTGCTTTATTTTTAATAAATCGTTTAGTTTTCAGATTTTTTTCATTTGCTGAGTCACCACTGCGCGCTCGCTTGCCAAGATTGCGTGTTAATTAATCAGCGTTGTCATTTTGTGGAGCTTTTTTTTTTACTTTGCGCTGGTGTTCTTGTTGTATCATGTCACGATTTGCATGCCACGGTTACGCCCCCTGTCCATTGCTGATTGCCATTACAATGTGCGCACGCTGTTGTTGTTATTTTTTTGTGTTTTTACTGTTCGCTATGCTGTTGGTGGCGCTCTAAAAATACATACACAAGTGATTATTTATTTGCTTCGATTTAATATCAAACCATTATGGCATTATCAATAAACGATTGCGCTTAATTAAAGCGATACGCGTTTGTAGGCGCAGAGTTATGTTTCTTTACATGCGCTGACACTGCGGGGTCAATGAGCTGTTGTACGGCGAGAGTGCATGAAAATTTAAAAAGAAATTAACAGCCAAATTCATAAAAAATTAAGAAGATTTAAACTGCTTTATGAATGGAAAAGCTGTATGAAAATGTCTCTCTGGAAAGCTCTTTAAACCTTTTTTTTTATTTTTTATGAATAAGGCCATCAATTTTTAATTTATTGAAAAACATATTCGGCTACATGCTTTTTCTCAGTTATTTCACTGGCCAATAAAATTTTACGGCAGAGCTCATTCCTATAGATTTTTGTACGCAGAATCAGGTTATGACCTTAGAAATTTCAGATTGGCTCTAATTTTTGAGATATTTTGACTTAAAGGTGTCAAAAACGGATTATTAGCATATTTTCAACCGTTATAACTGTGCATGATGAAATATTTTTAACAAGATATAAAGTAAGCTTGAACGCTGCTCTTTTATCCCGAAAGATAAAAAACTTTATGGTAGTATTTATTTTTGAAGTTTTTAAAATGCACAGGTAAGCAAAAAGTCGAACATTTATAAGAATCAGAGTTCACTTTCCGTGCCGCAAACATTTTTTGAATTTTTTTTAGCTAAATATGTTATCAACGTTGAACACTGGGACTTGTGGAAATTTGGGATTTAAACTTAGAGAAGGAATTAAAATGAGAGAGATTACTAAAACTTTACAAATTTATTTTGTTTTATTTTATTTTAATTAATTTTCCATGTTGTTTGTATATACTTTTATTTTATTTTGTTGGATTTTATTTTATTTTAAAAACAAACCTTATTTAATTTAAGTTAATTTTATATTATTTTAAGGTTTTTTATATTTTCTTTTAATATTTTATTTAGTTTAATTTAATTTAATTTAATTTTAATATATCTTATTTTATTTTATTTTATTTAAAAATAGTTTATTTTTTATTTGTTTTTATTTCATTTCGTTTTATTTTACCTTGTTTTATTTATAATTTTTAAATATTATTATTTTTCTCTCAACCATTATAGAAACAAAGTAAGGTGAAACCGATCTTTTAATTCGTTGGCCATAATTTTTTTGAAGTTTCCCAGCATTTCAAAATCATATATATGTACGGTATCGGTCATTTCTATAGCACGCCATTTCAAAGTGATATTGTGTGCCACTTATGTTTATTTATTTATTTTTAAGAATTTCCATATAAACCCAAGTTTAAAAATTTGTAGAAAACTACAAAAAATTGCAAAAAATTTTCACCTGAATTTCAAACTTTTTTCTCGGAAGTGTTTGAATATTTCTAAATACACAGTTTTATAGCCCAATCAATTTTAGTCCGATAATGTGCAAGTTTCAAGTGGCTAAAAGCTACC